AGTTCAGAACTAAATGAATGCCAAAACAATTTCAAAGTGCACGATGTCTGATTATTGAGACTGCAGTATGTGACAGTAGTGGGGAGGATACTGCATAACGTATCTGGAGTTCTCAGGTTATTCTTTGATCTCAGCTATACAGTGTCTTTGGAAGATAATGCAGAGGCTTGAGCATTGGTGGCTTGAGTTGCACTATTATTCAGTATCAGGAAAACAAATTTGCTTTTTCCTTCTGAATAAATAGTGAAACACAGGGTCTTGATAAATAGAGTAAGTGAAAACTGGGGGAGTGAAGAATCCTTCCATTCATGTGATAGTTAGAAGTTGAATACAGCACTTCTCAAGCAGAAAAAATGAACACAGCATTACTTACGTTTACATATTTTGCAGCAGCCATCGGGAGTAGTCTCTGCTTCATCCTTTGCAGAAGTAAATAAGGAGGATTTGTATTAATGCGCAGATGACAATCATGAGTAAGTATATGAGTTAGCATTACTGACACTGGGCAGAAGGCTCCTCTGTGATGAACACTGAATGACTTACTGTCCCCACCACAGAAGTCTTGAATCCTTGTAGACTCATATAAAAATACGAAGCTTTTCTTATCGCTAATGTTACAGCAAGATTGATTTCATTCTTAAGACATTCCTGCAACTTTAGTGAAAGTGATTTGTTGTATTCTTCTTTGCCCCCCCCCCCCTTGTTCTTTTAAATGTCATTTAATCAATGAAAAATTGATTAAAACTTACAGGGTCGCACTCTTCTGGGTTGTACTCGGGGCATATTTTTTTAGTTTGGACTGCAACAAATTGATCTTCAATTTTTTCACATTTGTAATGGCTGCAATGATCGAGTGGCATGATCTCATCAATCTAAGATTTTATAAGAAAAGAAAACAATTTTTTTTTCATTGTGATCGGGTATAGTAGGATTACTTCAAAAATGTCTGAGATAATTAAGTTCTCACACCTCAAAGATTCTCAGATGCTTCTGAACTTCTTTTAATTGGCAAAAGCAAAATTTTGCAAACTATGGCTAGCTTGAAAGTTTAAATCCTGGATCTGCATGCTCAGACCACAAATTAGAAACAATTGCCCAGTTAACCATAAATATCGAGAACTAGTTATTCCAAGTAAGTGTTCAATTCAGAAAAATGGTGTATTGTTTTCAGAGTAATTTCAGTGTTAATTAGGTATTTACTAGTAAGGGACATGAGTTGGTTCCTAGCTGTTCTATCCTGTATTGGCTAATACGCAGGTCTGAAAATGAAAGGAATACTTACATCGAGCAACACAACAGTGTCGTTACTTAGTTTGATTTTGCAAGCTACCTCAATACACTTCCCACAGCACTCTCCATCCTTAGGCGTATATTGATGACCCTACTCACAAGGAGATGAAAAAGAAAGTATGTTGAGCTGGCGATGGAGAATTCCAGTCTTCCTGTAATTGTGGTCTGACTGGGCAGCCTAGAGAATCTGAACTCACCAGTGGGCAAGATGTTTCACATTGGACTCTTTCACAATGCACGATATTTGCGTTACTCACTGGGTCTTTCTCAGAACTGCAGGTACAATTCATACATGAATTGATTACTGTTGACATTCCAACCTGGAAGACAGAAAAAAAAAATTAAATGGATAAAGTTTATATTTTTATGTGTGTATATATATAAAAATAGTACAGACAGAGTTGAAAGCATTGCTGAGAACCATTAAGGTTGTTGAAATGCAAGTGCGACTGAGTTGTTCAACTCTCTTCGAACATAATAAAGGTGTTTGCCTTTATGCCTTGCAAGAAAACACACATTAGGATGAAACTGAATGAAGCAATATAAAAGAGAAAAGTAAATTAATAAAATACAGGTAAGACTGGTTTATACTGCCTCATTAATTTACCAGCTTTTCAATGCTCCATTTAAAAAATTTTTTTTCCCTGTACGTCATATTCAGTGGTTATAAAACAATTATAATTTACAAATGGTGATTAAAATAATTGGATACATATGCAGATACATAAGCAGAGATACAAATTTACAAATGGATTTTAGTCTTTCTGAAATGTATCCCCAAAAGGCTCCAGTGCTAATGTTTGAATTCTGATTAAATAACCTAAGTACCAATTTTAGCAAAAGATTAAAGCAAAAAATCTTAGCTTTATTTTTGAAGGTTCTCTGGGCTTATTTCAAAGAATCATTGATTTTGGGCTATTCATCAGCTCGTTTGGAAAATTCATTAATTCCAGAAGTGGGAGAGAGCTTAAAAAGTACATCACTAAAAATGGCACACTCTTGTTCTACACTACATGTTGAGGAACTCTTCTGTGACAATTTTGGTTTTGACATTAGAAAAAACCCTACACTTCCGGTTAAGGACTAGAGATAAAACAGCATGTACTGGGAAAAGAACTGTCTCAAAGGCTTATTTTTGTAGAAAGGGTGTACTTTTCACTTCCAGCAATATACCACTATAAGTATAACATTCTCACCCCATACGTTGTACCATTAATGACACAGATGTCAGGTATTGGTTCTGAAAAACAACAAAAAAAAAAAATTCCAATGTAAACTCAAATTCTGAGACTTCCTGAGAAGTCAAGATGTTATCAAGGTTTGTTAGTAACACAGAGATTATGGAAAACTTGAATTCAATCCCCCCTACATGCTTACACCTCATATTAGTATAGCTGGATGTTTAAGTAAAGTTTCATCTTTGAAATCAGCTAGAAGAGTTGAGGAGGAATGGCTTCAAACTTGAGCTATACATGAAAAATCCCCTTTTTGCCCTTTCAATATCAGGTTCACTTCAAATTAAATTAGTTGTTTCCTCTTTGAACCCTAGAAGTCCAGTAACCTTCAAAGATGCCTTTGTTATTGATTCTTTATGACCTCTCTGAACATGGCTTGGATGGAAGATTGACTCTGAGTGGAAAAAAGGTATTTTTACTGTGGTTATATAAATAATTTGACAGCATGGCAGAGCCCATTCATGTCTTTCACAGAACAACTTCAAACTTGGCAGTTCCTTTGTTCTGATCTTCCTGTTTTGGGCTTAATTTATGGCTACCCTTTTCTTTGTATTGTTTTGTATAAATATATGTGTATAAAAATATACATATATAAAAAATTATGTATATAAATAAACATATATAACTATTGGATTTTTAAATTTTCGTGAACATTCAACAGTGTAAGTATAATTATTTTTCATACATCGACAATTCGGTTACTGATTACAATTCACTTTGTATTATTGCTTCGTGTAACTTGCTTTTGTAGTTAACTGTTAAGATTTTTGCTGGCTTATTCTTATGTTTATGCATCTTAGTTTAGCTACAGTTAGGCTAATTCTAATGTGCTCCAATGCTCCCTTAATAACATTAAATAAAATGCATTAATAACATTTATGATTACAGATACAGAGATAGTTGAGCTACATAGACCACTTGAAGGTTCAAAGTATTATCCTGCTCTCCCACCCATTCCAATTCTCTCAGCAAACTTCATTGAAAATAACATTTTGGTTTTAAATAAACTTGTAATGCATATTTAGCCAAAAACTGATGCGTGTTCCTTGAGCCAGAACAATTTAAGGAAGCTATTGCTGGTTTTGTGATACATGAAGAACTTGCTTAGATATTAACAGAAGTGCAAATGTAATTTACCAGAGTGTGTAGCCTCGTGTGTATATATATATTTTCAATACTTACCACATACAAATTCAGGACAACATGGGTCTTTTATTGGTAGTACAGTCTTGGAAGCAAATCCTAAGTCACAAATTGGTGTCTGGCATAAGAGCGACTTGCATTGTGTGGTAGTAGTGAGAGGGTCACAGACACACTTCTGGCATTCATTTATCCAGTTCTCTCCAGGCTGAAAATACATAAATGATTTACTCTTAAGTGCTCTCTCACCCTAGTTGTTCCAAGTCACCTTGAAATAGACTCTCAAATTTGGTAGGGAGTTCAGATTAGAGTTTTCTTAGCATGTGATTTCAGGCCTTAAGAGTGGGCAGAATTTTCTTCTGTGTAGAAGGAATGATATTTTAACATTTTCATGGCTGGTCTACTTATTTCTATGACATTTAAATGTCTTTTGTTAAAAAAAGTCTCTGCTATGGTATTAGTGAGCTTTTCCATTTCCAGATTACTTAAAAGCCTGGTAATGCCAGGTTGAAGAATTGTGCGCTATCACATCATTTGTAACATGACCAACTTTGTTACTGAAATACATACAAGTTGATTTGAATTCATTATTAGAGGGCAGAAATTGGGCTGGTTTTGCAATGATGATATATTAGAAAATAATGAGGGGAACCACCTTTCGTGGAGGACTGACATCAGTACAGTTTGCTTCTACTGAAGTTGTGAGGGATGTTGCTGTAGTTGGTGAGACAGAAGAAAATCCACGTTCTGTGGATGAGGAGACTTGTGTTGTCGTTACTGAGGTGACTGGAGTGAAAGGAGTTGTCGAAGGACATGGCCCCTGAAATGGGTCAATTCCGCATTCCTTGCTGCAAAGTGCATAAAAATTACAGCCAGCCCTATCTGTTATGTTGTATACCACTTCCCCTGTAGAGAAAAATTGGAGGAGAAATTAAAAGACCAATGAAAACACTTAGGGAAAAAAACCCAACAGAATATTGTGAAAATATAAAGTGTATTCATGTATAAAAAGTTCTATGTTTAGGTGATTTTGTGCGGTTATATTTAATTGAATAGGGTATTAAGGGTTTATATTGCTTATGAAAATTTTTATAACCATAAAATAAGACACTTACCAGGAGAAAAAAAATTACCAAACACATGACAAAAACATGGAGTTGTTTGTCTTGATGTAACATATGTACTTGCTTCTGTTGTGACAGGTGTGCTGGGGGAAGAACTGAAGATTGCAGAAGTGCTTTTTGTGACATGACTTGATTGTGATGTACCAGTTGTAGCTACTGTTGAGCACAAGACATACTTTAGTTTGCATCACAGGATTTTGTACTCATAATTTTAACATATTGGAGAGGACTGTTCAACATTCCGGCAAATCAAGCCAAAGTTTTTGTTGCATTCAACTATTTGACCTACTGATAAGTGGAGATTGTGGAAATCTTTTAGCTCTACGCTAAATATCATCTGGGATTTGGCAATTATTATGACATTTAGCTCAAATGTTTTCAAAAGTTTCAAAGTCACCACTGTCTCCTCCAAGCTCAGGATAAGTAATATCAAGCTATAGGGTCCACTCACACACATGTCTAACACAGATACTAGTAGCAGAGGGACAGAAAAGGTGGTTTATGTATTGGAAGAAGTAGGGATAATGGTGGAAGAAGGCACGGGCCACAATGATACCAATGTTGTTCTACTGAAATAACTGTTTGTAACCTTTCGTGAGGCAGACAATGACATACCTGGGCTCCTTGTGGTAGTGAAACTTGTGGTGAAAACAGCGGTGGCAGTAGTTTGTCCAGTAGAAGAAACAGATGTTGGAAGAATATATATGGTGCTTCTAATTCCTGACTGTGGAAGACTGAAGGTGGTAGTGGGTGATGTTGGAGTCTGTATTGCCACAGTGGATGTTTCTGCTGGAGCAGACGTGGCTGTGGACATTGTGGTGCTTCTTACGGTTGTCCTGGAGGTGCTGGTACTGCTGGCTGCTGAGGTGGGCACAGTTGGTGTAGTTGTGATGATGGTCGTTCCTTGTGTTGGAGGGGGAGAGGTCTTGGCGGTGCTGGCCCTGCTGGTGGTAGTGATGATAGTTGTGCCTTGAGTTGGAGGGGCAGTGGTACTGGGGATAACCGTGGTGCCAGCAGTGATACTTATTTTTGTTTCGGGGACAGCGGAGGCAGTAGTGAGTGATGTTGGAGCCTGTGTTGCCACAGTGGATGTTTCTTCTGGAGCAGACGTGGCTGTGGACGTTGTGGTGCTTCTTACGGTTGTCCTGGAGGTGCTGGTACTGCTGGCTGCTGAGGTGGGCACAGTTGGTGTAGTTGTGATGATGGTCGTTCCTTGTGTTGGAGGGGGAGAGGTCTTGGCAGTGCTGGCCCTGCTGGTGGTAGTGATGATAGTTGTGCCTTGAGTTGGAGGGGCAGTGGTACTGGGGATAACCGTGGTGCCAGCAGTGATACTTATTTTTGTTTCGGGGACAGCGGAGGCAGTAGTGAGTGATGTTGGAGCCTGTGTTGCCACAGTGGATGTTTCTTCTGGAGCAGACGTGGCTGTGGACGTTGTGGTGCTTCTTACGGTTGTCCTGGAGGTGCTGGTACTGCTGGCTGCTGAGGTGGGCACAGTTGGTGTAGTTGTGATGATGGTCGTTCCTTGTGTTGGAGGGGGAGAGGTCTTGGCGGTGCTGGCCCTGCTGGTGGTAGTGATGATAGTTGTGCCTTGAGTTGGAGGGGCAGTGGTACTGGGGATAACCATGGTGCCAGCAGTGATACTTATTTTTGTTTCGGGGACAGCGGAGGCAGTAGTGAGGGATGTTGGAGCCTGTGTTGCCACAGTGGATGTTTCTTCTGGAGCAGACGTGGCTGTGGACGTTGTGGTGCTTCTTACGGTTGTCCTGGAGGTGCTGGTACTGCTGGCTGCTGAGGTGGGCACAGTTGGTGTAGTTGTGATGATGGTTGTTCGTTGTGTTGGAGGGGCAGTGGTCCTGCGGACAGCTGTGGTGCCAGGGGCGGTACTTATTAGTGTTTTGGGGACAGTGGAGGCAGTAGCGAGTGATGTTGGAGTCTGGGTTGCCACAGTGGAGGTTTCTCCAGGAAAGGTTGTGGTGGAGGAGCCTGCAGTGGTGCCTGGGGGTGCTGATGTTGTCTGGCAGTGTTTACGGTCACAGCACAGCACCTTGACCTCATAGTCAAAGCACATGGGGTACTTTCTGATCTGATCCTTATTTCTGCACACAAGCCCAGTGTCAAGGCTGCACTCAAATTTCTGTCCCAGTTTGTCCAGACTCCTATCAGGATAATCTTTAGCACGGCAGTTGATGTCTTGTGGCTTGTCACACAGTGCATACCCAGCGGCTCGGATTTTTGCAAACGTCTCTACGTCTCCATTTTCTCTACCGGGGCTAGGGGAATCCAAGTTAAACCACTGCGTCCAGGCACATTGTGGCTGGCAGATGTTTGTGGTCTTGGAGGTGCTTGCGGTGGTGGTGGCTACTGAGGTGGGCGCTGTTGTTGCTGGTGTGGTGGTGGTTGTGACACCTTTCAGAGGGGGAGAGGTCTTGGTGGTGCTCTGCCTGCTAGTGGGTGTGATGATGGTCGTTCCTTGTGTTGGAGGGGGAGAGGTCTTGGTGGTGCTCTGCCTGCTAGTGGGTGTGATGATGGTCGTTCCTTGTGTTGGAGGGGGAGAGGTCTTGGCAGTGCTGGCCCTGCTGGTGGTAGTGATGATAGTTGTGCCTTGAGTTGGAGGGGCAGTGGTACTGGGGACAACCGTGGTGCCAGCAGTGGTACTTATTACTGTTTTGTGGACAGTGGAGGCAGTACTGGGTGATGCTGGAGCCTGTGTTGCCACAGTGGATGTTTCTTCTGGAGCAGACGTGGCTGTGGAGATTGTGGTGCTTCTTACAGCTGTCCTGGAGGTGCTGGTACTGCTGCCTGCTGAGGTGGGCACAGTTGGTGTGAGTGTGATCATGGTTGTTCCTGATTTTGGAGGGGCAGTGGTCCTGCGGACAGCTGTGGTGCCAGGGGTGGTACTTATTACTCTTTCGGTGACAGTGGAGGCAGTAGTGGGTGATGCTGGAGCCTGTGTTGCCACAGTGGATGTTTCTTCTGGAGCAGACGTGGCTGTGGACGTTGTGGTGCTTCTTACGGTTGTCCTGGAGGTGCTGGTACTGCTGGCTGCTGAGGTGGGCACAGTTGGTGTAGTTGTGATGATGGTCGTTCCTTGTGTTGGAGGGGGAGAGGTCTTGGCAGTGCTGGCCCTGCTGGTAGTAGTGATGATAGTTGTGCCTTGAGCTGGAGGGGCAGTGATACTGGGAACAACCGTGGTGCCAGCAGTGATACTTATTTTTGTTTCGGGGACAGTGGAGGCAGTAGTGAGGGATGTTGGAGCCTGTGTTGCCACAGTGGATGTTTCTTCTGGAGCAGACGTGGCTGTGGACGTTGTGGTGCTTCTTACGGTTGTCCTGGAGGTGCTGGTACTGCTGGCTGCTGAGGTGGGCACAGTTGGTGTAGTTGTGATGATGGTCGTTCCTTGTGTTGGAGGGGCAGAGGTCTTGGCGGTGCTGGCCCTGCTGGTGGTAGTGATGATAGTTGTGCCTTGAGTTGGAGGGGCAGTGGTACTGGGAACAACCGTGGTGCCAGTGGTGGTTTTAATTGCTGATTTGGTGAGGGTGGAGGCAGTAGTGGGTGATGCTGGAGTCCGGGTTGCCACAGTGGTGATTTCTTGTGGAGCTGACGTGGTCTGGTAACCTGTTGTTGAGACTTGTGATGTCTTTGCTGTAGTTGGAGTTCCTGTCATTGGAGTCGGGCGTTCTCTTTCTTTTCCTAATGTTGGAGGTACTTCGGTTTTTTGCACTTCAGTTTGTTTTTGTGTTGTTGGTTTTGTCCTTGTCTGTAATGTAAATGGTGTTGCTGATGTTACAGCAGTTGTTGTTGTGAATTCTTCCATGGTTCTTGGTGTTGTAGTTCGTAATTCTGAACATTGTATGTAGTTGCAGCATGATATTCTGATTTCATAATTATAGCAGTGCTTACTTTGTTGGTCTTTGTTATTGCATATTAATCCCCTGCTTTGACTGCATTGTACCGTTTGGTTAAGATTGTTTATTTCTGTATCTGGGTATTCTTTGGCTCTGCATTGAACACCGTTTGGGTTTTTACACACACTGTATCCTTTATGTCTGAGATTTTCAAATGTTTCATAATCTCCACTGTCCTCTTTATTTTCAGGCTGTGTGGAATCATACCATTGTGACCATGCACATAGATTCTTCACACATACATCTGTCACTGGTCTTGTGGTTGTTGTTTCTGTAATTGAAAGCAAGAAATATAAGTCTTGTCTGTTCTTATTAAAGGAAGTGCCAGGAAAAAATTATTCATCTTCCATACATTTTAATATTCTATGTAATATTACGTATGTTAATGTATTATTTTAACGAACTTGCTTTGACAGTCTTGAATTTCATTTCTAAGGTAGGTTTTGGTCTCATGTCTGTATTATTTTTCTAGTGGTACTTTATGAGACATTTATTAAAAAATTGTCGTTAAATATAGCTAATATCCTTTGTGTGGAATTTCAATACATAGGATAATGTGATCTCAGGATTGCTATGGTATAAGTAAGAGAAGGTTTTATTCTCCTTGGTATTATCTCTGTACCTATTTACACTTAGCTACATAACCACACAGGCTTTAAAATATTTTTACAGGTTAATGACTTTTCTAATTATTTTAATATTATAACATGTAATACATTTATAAATATAAAATATATATTTAACACATATATATTTTATATATAATACATCATAATATAGAATATACATATACAATATATATGAAATATATAATCTAATAAGTATTTTCTACTTATTTTATTAAGATTTCTTTTCATATTTTTAGCATTATGAAGATAACTGTGTGGAATATATGCCACTTGCTTCACATGAATGTTACTTAATAAAAGTTGAATATTTAGTTCTTGCTGTAGTATTGTATAATTTTGTGGAAACATTTCTTACAATTTCTCAGAATTACATGGTCACTATAATGAGTTAACTGCAGGAGCAGAAAGAAACTGTTGAGTTGGTTATTAAATACAATTAGGAATGGTTCCAAAGAATGGTTCTAAATAAAGCTGGAGCTTTGTTTAAATGGTTTTAAATAAATAAATTTAAATAAATAAATTTCAATGGTTTTAAATAAAGCTTGAGCATTCCCTCAAGCTAGGTTTCTTATCTTCAGTTTGCACTAATGTGGTCAATAATTTAAAAAATCTCAGTAATTGTCTTTTGTGTTTTCAGAAGTTAGTCTAGAACAGCTGGATTTTGTTTGCAAGGAAATGAAGATATTCTCCAGGGTGCAATGATTAATAAGCCCTATTTTTTGTCCCCTGGAAAAACCATGGTGAAACAGTGGAAATTGAGTTTGTAAGAAATGCTGTACTCACTTCTATGTCCTTGATTAAGGTCTTCTTTAGCAACTGAAGTTGCCAGATGAATTGGTGGCTCCAGCAGAAGTCAACAGTTTCAAGTAAAATTATATGCTATTAACTGATGAAAAGGCCCTCCCTTTCAGGCAATTTTCAGTCCCTTCCAGGGATTTTTCAGTTATTTTAAAGAGTATTCATGCATACCTGAAGCAGTAGTTGTGGGCTGACTTGTAGAAAATGTAAATGGTGGTGTGGTAACAATGCCACATTTAAAGATATTTCTGTTTATTGTTCCATTGACATCACATGTTGCACTGAAACACCATCCAGTTCCATCTGTGGTGTTGTAGATGAGTTGACCATATTTATAGCTGTTCTGTTCATAAATGCAGTAGCATGCTGTAATTCAGAAGAAGTTTATTTTACAGGTATCTATGAAAAGATAATACCCAATATTTCATTTTCTTAATAATTCTTCTTAGCTGTCTTACCTTTATCATCAAACCTGCACTGTAAACCTTCTGATGTGCATTCACTGAAATAAAAAACATAAGAAACCCCATATTTTTTGATTATGAAGTAATTTTATTAGTCATCTTTCTGCCAGATACTAGCATCAAAAGACAGGACATTTTATTTGTGTTTATTCCTTGAGTGTCCAGTTCATGTTGGCTTCTTTTTTTGCCATTATTTTACAAAATGTTTCTTTATATTAAACCCAAACTTATAAATAGAAGTGAAGCTAAATATTATGCAAAGCTACAGGTAGAAGTCTTAAGGAAGACTTTCTTTCTTTCCTCCTTATCACTTTCACTCCTTATCACTTGTAATGTTTTTTACTAAATAGTCTAAATACTGCAAGCAGTGTAAGAATGTAATAAAATCCTTGGAAGTAGACCCCTGTTAGATACCTATACTCCTGGAACAATATTTTTCTTGCCATAGGAATGGGAAATAGGGAAAGCCTGGTCATAAAGGACTTACTGTTCTTGTTGTATCTTTATGCTGAGGATTTACGACATAATCAGGAACAAATTCAACAGAACATAAAATCACATAAAAACTTACTACTAATGTAGTAAGAAAACTAGTATTAGATAGTAAGGCGTTATTTTTACACATGCAGCATAAACTAGTCCTGTCGTGTAACAGGAACATGCAATTTCCCGCTATTGTTTTGATCATTTTTCCTTGTACATGAATTAGGCTGATATGTTAGGTCTTACCATAAATTACATTCATCCCGTCTATATATCTTTCCATCTTCATTATCATAACAGTCACAGAGACTGACACATTTCATCTGATCCTCATGAAAATATGGCTTGTCTGGTGGGCAGTTAGGGTAGCAGCCTGAAGGAAGGAAAAGGGCACAGAGAAGGTAGAAAAGGTGAGAATGAGATACAGTCAGCAGAAGTTTTATTTGTGCAGAATGTGTTTGCAAGTCTTGTTTTTAACAGTCATAATTTTTACTACTTAATTTTTTTCAATAATTCTAGGAAGTAATGCAGAGTACTAGCATGAGCAGAGCCCACCCACAAGGACTTAGTTCTAGAGATGTTTTTAACTCCAGTTTCCATACTCTGCCTCCATTCATGTGGATGCAATGATGTTGAAGAGAATCACATGGTGCAAATGCAGCTGATGGGGGAAATACTCTCCATTAAAGACCATTAAAAATATAATAAAGTGTACCCCCTTAAAGGTACTTGCAGCTCTTTTTACCTTCTAAACCTGGTAAATTATGGAGGCATTTTCCACTTGGGTTCCTACAGGTCTTCATACAGGAGGCTCCACAAGGCTTATAGTGCCATTCACATTCCCCTTGTTGATTGTAGTAATCACAGAACAGTGCTAAGGAGAAACAGAAATTTGGATATATTTAGTAAAAAAAAAAAAAAAGCGCTTTTTTCTGACCCATGTCTGTTCATCATATCCCTGCAATGCTGCCTGAACAGTCTTGAAAACCGTGAATGAATAGGTGAAATTGTGTGACCATCAAAACAGCTTAGTGTGAAAAGTCTACACAGTAAGATTAATATGCACATACGTAAGATACCCAGAGTGTGTGTTCAAGGACACCAGCAAGGCACTGTACATTTAACTACATTCTCAGAAGACGTGTTTATGACATAAAACTCACGACAGATTGATGGGGTTCTCCAGGCTATGCAGACACCAACTTCACTACATGCTTGAGCATAGGCAGCTACTGCTGTACAAAAGCAATCACAGTCTCCTCCAGTGTCACATGCACAAGCGTCTGTCACGCATGCTTGGTAATATTTTGCTGGTTCAACCTGTTATTAAAAAGAAATATAATACTATACATCCTGCCTTCTAAATTCTTTCTTAGCTTTGCTAGGGTAATTTTCTTAAAATTGTAATATCTCAGAAGAAAGACCTACATCAGTAATTTCTTTTTCTTTTGTTTATATACACTTTAAACACCAGAGGTGATGCCAGATGATACATCCAAATCATGTATTGACAGATTTTTAGACACCCAGACTTGTGTCCTAGTGGAAGATTAGATTCATGTTCCCAAGCAATATTAGGCAACTGCGCTTGAAAATGAAGGTCTCTGCCAGTGGAAAGAACTAAGACAATAAAAAGAGCACAGAGTTACCCTGCATTGTTTGGTATGTACTTAGTGTCAGATAAAGGCTATGCTGATACTTCACTACTGTGTTATTATTTCATTGAGCTTGTGTTCTGTACATGGTATATGAGGATTTTTATTCAAGCCACACTACAAGAACATACACAGTAATTATGAAATTATTATTCTTTCGTAATAGGTCAATATTTCCTATGAACTAAATGTCCTTTTATTTTTTACAGGTAGGGACTATAAATCTGTCCCATTGACTGGGGATTCAGACTGAAGTTTTCCTGACACAATTCAAAGTGAAACATGCTAATGAATTAGGCATGCTTGTTAAAATGTATAAGGATAGCAGCTTCAATAATACACAGACCTAGTCTTCACACAGTAAACTTCTGCCCTGGTAATACCTGAGAGTGACAGGCAGCAAAGACGTTGCTGTTGATGATGCTACACTGCTTCTCTGACCAGGACTTTCGATAAGGGTTGGTAGAACATGGGTCCTTTATGCTGTAAGCATCAGGACACGTAGAGGATACTTTCCAGCTGTTTCCAAACTCTAGGACGTTCTCTACTACAGACTGACTCCTTGTAGTAAAGTCATTGATGCCATTGCCGTCATAATTTCCACAGAGGCCACAGATCTGGCCCTGCAAAAGGAAGTGAATAAATTACAATGTATGTGAGAAAACTTGAAACAACATCTGAGACTGAAAGAATACTTGAAATTCAGCTCTTAGAATGGTACCATTCCATTCTAGCGTTCCTGAACATCTTCATCCTTTGTCCAGCCACATAGTCTACTCATTGAGTCTTTATTGTTATGACTGCTCACAGGTATAAAAATGAATGACATTTTCCTTGCACATCCAGAAATATCCCTCTTTCTAAATTTATGGATCTGTAAAACTGTGATAGGATACAATAGATGGTATGTTTCTCTATGAATCTAAGGTGCATACTTTCCATATTACTACTATTTTTATAAAGTGCCAGTGGGTGAGGCAGCAAAAGAACCTACGATACTAAAATAAATTTGTATATCTATTTCTAAATTACACTTAATTTATATACCTAGTTGAAATGTCACTGTGGTATACAATAAGATAGCAAATTCTTCATTTACTACAGTTTTTGGTACTTCTATATCATAAGCTAGGAGAAGGAATATGACAACAGCAATACATTTTCCTTATCACCTGTGTAGATATATACTTGAAAAATACATGGTAGCATTTTACAAGAGGCTTTCACTCATAGTATTTCACTGAAAGCTGCCTTCAGAGCTCAGAACAGCAGCAGAATGATGACATGACTTCCTGAGGCACCAGAGGAATGCAAAACAACATGGGATGTCCTGCAGGAATGCTTGA